ATTTTCCTTATTTGAGAGATCTACATTGATTAACAAATCAAAATCGTAAATTTTTACGAAGCACTAAAAAAGCGAAATACAAGATGCAAATATATGGGCTAGAAGGGCCAAAAATGGCAAAAGAAATGATATTCGGAAAATTAATTTATATTATAAAAATCATAAGAAATACAAACTTTAAAGTGCTACTGCATAATTTTATTATTACGCTTTTCCAATTACTGTGATCAGCAAATTTCACGTATTACACTTAGAATCAGAAATCTAAAATAAATGCAAACCCGTGATTGGTTATAAATAATTTTTAGCCAATCATGTATTTGCATTTATTTTAGATTTCTGATTCCTGGTGTGATATGTGGAACTTGCTAATCACAGTAATTTGAAAAGCGCAATAATACAACTACTTTTGTATTTTAAGTGCCTAATCTTATTCTAAATTAATTTATGTAAAAAAAATTCGTTTGAAAAAATAGTTATTTTCGGCCCTTTTTCACCATATATACCTGTATTGAGTGCTTGGACACTAATAAAGTGTCAGAGGAACAATTTTACCTATAGTACCCACTCAATCCTTAACCCTAACCATAACTCTTATTTCAGTTGCTTCCTTTAAATATTCTTTCAAATAAGGAAATCGAAAAACGGTGCAGTAATATCAGTCCTATATGAATTTTCTTTTCAAGTTCATTTAAACAAATATACATTAAATAATGATGATTAAAGTACCATTGTCAGTATTATTATATATATTTTTTAATGACTTACCTCATTTTTACAAATTATGTTAAAAAAAGAAAATATGCCATTTAATTAAAAATTATGTTTAAAACAAAATGCATTCTGACCTCTTTATAAATATTTTTTTTCTTATATCTTCAGACAAAGAAAATGAAACAATAATGTTTGCATTGCAACTTACTGCTGAAAGTCTATGTGAATATTTGACCAACTATTCACATCAAATTAATCAAACTGACAAATTGAATATCGCAAAAGATGTAGCCAGTGGATTAGAATTTTTACATACAAATAACATAGTCCATGGAGATTTAGTAAGTTAAATCGGTTTGGTATTTTTAATTAAAAATAAGCACCTGGCACTTATATAAATTTATATATATTACAGCATTCAAGAAGCATATTTATCGACAATAATAATAAACATAATAAACGTGCTCTTATTACAAATACAAAAATATTTACAGTAGTAAACGGAAACTCATCGATGGATATTATGAGGAATCAAACTAAAATTTGTTATGTAGATCCGAGGCTGCTAAATTCTCACAAAAAGCCAGATGAAAATTCCGACATTTATAGTGCTTCGTAAAAATTTACGATTTTGATTTGTTAATCAATGTAGATCTCTCAAATAAGGAAAATA